CTTTTCAAAATATAAAGTTTATACACTATATATTCTAGAGTAAGTTATGCTGATGAGAATTATGGCACTGCTGGTGTGACGTTTAGAAGCGTCACTGGACTCGCAATCCACAGCCCAACGGTTCGACTCCACCTCCAGGCGCAGCAGCAGAATCCATGGGGGGGTCACCACAGCAGAATCCATGGGGGGGTCACCACATCAGAATCCATGGGGGTCACCACAGCAGAATCCATGGGGAGGTCACCACAGCAGAATCCATGGGGTCACCACAGCAGAATCCATGGGGAGGTCACCACAGCAGAATCCATGGGGTCACCACAGCAGAATCCATGGGGGGGGGGGGGGGGTCACCGCAGCAGAATCCATGGGGTCACCACAGCAGAATCCATGGGGTCACCACAGCAGAATCCATGGGGGGGTCACCACAGCAGAATCCATGGGGTCACCGCAGCAGAATCCATGGGGGGTTCTACACAGCAGAATCCATGGGGTCACCACAGCAGAATCCATGGGGAGGTCACCACAGCAGAATCCATGAGGGGGTCACCACAGCAGAATCCATGGGGTCACCACAGCAGAATCCATGGGGGGGTCACCACAACAGGGCGCGTGTGGTGGGGTCACGTGTGGGTGCTTCCGTCTCTTCCAAGATGTCTGGCCAGCATGGAAGAGTAGGCTAAATACTCCTCAGAGGTGACTCTAGACTCGAGAGAGTTACTGCTTTGGTGAGGCGCTTCCACAAGCAGTGAGGCGCTTCCACAAGCAGTGACGCGAGCGAGCAATTTCAGTGCTGCGCCTTTACCTGTTTTACCTGGCAACGTTTTGATGGTATACACCGTGCGGGGTTTACACTTATATTTTTGGGACTTGTGCCATGCTATTTTACCTTAAAATGTATTCGTAGTTTATATTCGTAGTTTACTTCTGTTGGGGATTGTAATTGGTGCAAAAGGAGATGGTGGGAGTGTGATTGTGTGTTGGTGTGTTTACACAAAGCGTGCGTCTTCATGTGGTGGGAAGGGATGAATGGAAACCTTGGTTCATAAACAAAACCGATGTTATAACAATGAAGGTGCTGTGATTTGACGAACATTAAACCTGGGATCTTTGGAGATGTCACTGCCGCTGTTTCATTGATGGTTAATCGAGAGCTTTCTGTAAGTCCACAGCTGCATGAAGGCCTCCACTCACCGTGTCGTTCCTAGAGCTTGTATGACCATACTTCACCACCCTGGTGAGTATGGGTTGGTAAAGGAGGGAGTGACCGTTTCGGGGATCTCACCTCGCCACTTCGTTGGCCGAGGGAGGGAATTGAACTCGGGTGACCCAGGTTCATGCTTTGCGCTAACCACTGCACCACCACTCCAACCCACAAATGCTTAAAAGAATAAAGGAATATCAAGTTGGTGCAGACCACCACATACAAAGAACCCTCGTTTGGCCACTAGAGAGACAAAGGCGGCCGGGCGTGGTGCTGGCCACCCACCCCCTCGTGTGCCGTGCCGGCCTTCATAGGTGCTCGCTAACGGCACTTGTCCCAACAGTCTGTTAAGGGGCCGTCCATAAATGACGTCACGCGATTTTGGATGAATTTTGACCCCCCCCCCCCCTTCGTCACGCGGCGTCACAAAACGTCAGACCCCCCCTCAAATATGACGTCACAAAGCTTCCCCCCCCCCCCCAAAAAAAATACAAAGCATGCTTCAAATCGCCTTAAACTATTGTCATTGTAGTTCGTATTTAATGTGGCGCTGCACTCTGATGTAGGAGAAAACATTTATTAAAAAGTCTATTTAAACACATTCCTGCGGCGGGAGCTGGTAGGAACGTTGGGTTGCTCGGTCAATGGCCTGCAGGGTCAACGGCGGCGTGGTGTATTCCGCAAATATGCCCGACTGTGAGGGCGGAAGCCGGCGTGAGTAGGTTAAGCGTTGAGTTTAGCCCCACCCTCCCCACCCAGCCCCTCCCCACCCTCCCCTCCCCACCCAGCCCTCTCCACCCTCCCCTCCCCACCCAGCCCCTCCCTCCCCACCCAGCCCCTCCCTGCACGACGGACGGACACAATAATCCCCTGTGGGCTGGTGGAACCAGGAGAGGTTCCTACCAGTATGAAGTAGAACGTGTTGTCTATATTTATTTAAAGTTGCGCATTTTGATGTGACGTCACGTTTCTCCCCCCCCCCCCCCCCATCATCACACATCGTCACAAATGTCTGACCACCCCCCCCCCCCAGGTGCGTGACGTCATTTATGGACGGCCCCCAAGGCTAAACGGGGGGGGGGGGGTCTCTGGGGAGCTGTCGTGTAGCGGTTAGCGCGCTGCGCTACAAAACCAGCGACCCAAGTTCGATTCCTGCCCACGGTCACCAACAGCAGTGACGATTACGCAGAAATACAGACTAGTCTGGGCCTCGCCTAGGTCGACTCGGCCTATCCAGGCGATATGTTCAGTGAGGGAAAAAAGTATTTGATCCCCCTGCTGATTTTGTACGTTTGCCCACTGACAAAGAAATTATCAGTCTATAATTTTAATGTAGGTTTATTTGAACAGTGAGAGACAGAATAATAAAAACAAAATCCAGAAAAACGCATGTCAAAAATGTTATAAATTGATTAGCATTTTAATGAGGGAAATAAGTATTTGACCCCCTCTCAATCAGAAAGATATCTGGCTCCCAGGTGTCTTTTATAAAGGCAACAAGCTGAGATTAGGAGCACTTCCTTTAAGAGTGTGCTCCTAATCTCAGCTCGTTACCTGTATAAAAGACACCTGTTCACAGAAGCAATCAATCAATCAGATTCCAAACTCTCCACCATGGCCAAGACCAAAGAGCTCTCCAAGGATGCCAGGGACAAGATTGTAGACCTACACAAGGCTGGAATGGGCTACAAGACCATCGCCAAGCAGCTTGGTGAGAAGGTGAAAACAGTTGGTGCGATTATTCGCAAATGGAGGAAACAAAAAAGAACTGTCAATCTCCCTCGGCCTGGGGCTCCATGCAAGATATCACCTCGTGGAGTTGCAATGATTGGTGAGGAATCAGCCCAGAACTACACGGGAGGATCTTGTCAATGATCTTAAGGCAGCTGGGACCATAGTCACCAAGAAAACAGTTGGTAACACACTACTCCGTGAAGGACTGAAATCCTGCAGCACCCGCAATGTCCCCCTGCTCAAGAAAGCACATATATATGCCCGTCTGAAGTTTGCCATTGAACATCTGAATGATTTAGAGGACAACTGGGTGAAAGTGTTGTGGTCAGATGAGACCAAAATGGAGCTCTTTGGCATCAACTCAACTCGCCGTGTTTGGAGGAGGAGGAATGCTGCCTATGACCCCAAGAACACCATCCCCACCGTCAGACACGGAGGTGGAAACATCATGCTTTGGGGGTGTTTTCACCGCATCAAAGGGACGATGGACGGGGCCATGTACCGTCAAATCTTGGGTGAGAACCTCCTTCCCTCAGCCAGGGCATTGAGAATGGGTCGTGGATGGGTATTCCAGCATGACAATGACCCAAAACACACGGCCAAGGCAACAAAGGAGTGGTTCAATCTTAACTTTTGAGCTTTCGTGACTGCAGGAATTATTCTTTGGTTCTTTCGGTAAAGTCACGTATAAAGAAAAAATAATAAATTATGTTATTATTTAATTTATTATTTTTTCTTTATACGTGACTTTACCGAAATAACCAAAGAACAAAGGAGTGGCTCAAGAAGAAGCACATTAAGGTCCTGGAGTGGCCTAGCTAGTCTCCAGACCTTAATCCCATAGAAAATCTGTGGAGGGAGCTGAAGGTTCGAGTTGCCAAACGTCAGCCTCGAAACCTTAATGACTTGGAGAAGATCTGCAAAGAGGAGTGGGACAAATCCCTCCTGAGATGTGTGCAAACCTGGTGGCCAACTACAAGAAATGTCTGACCTATGTGATTGCCAACAAGGGTTTTGCCACCAAGTACTAAGTCATGTTTTGCAGAGGGGTCAAATACTTATTTCCCTCATTAAAATGCAAATCAATTATAACATTTTTGACATGCGTTTTTCTGGATTTTATCGTTGTTATTCTGTCTCTCACTGTTCAAATAAACCTACTATTAAAATGATAGACTGATCATTTCTTTGTCAGTGGGCAAACGTACAAAATCAGCAGGGGATCAAATACTTTTTTCCTTCTGTATATTCCACTACAGTCGTGGCAACATGCAGGAGGATTAGGCTCGTTTATTGTGGGGCAAATCCAACGGGATGTCAAGTAAAGTGACGTTCCCATCCAGCCACGGGAGACCGCTACACTCGCCACCAAGTAAAAATACCGTCATCAGTCCGCATTATCAGCAGGCTGTGGGATTACATTGAGAGGGACAGAGATCACACGCAGGCGAGAGGCTTTCATTGACAAACTGTGATGATGGAATGTCAGTGTGGGGCTGGGGGTCAAATCATGATAACGGAGTATGGATAACGGAGTGGTGGATAACGGAGTGGTGGATAAAGGAGTGGTGGATAACAGAGTGGTGAATAACGGAGTGGTGGATAAAGGAGTGGTGGATAACGGAGTGGTGGATAACGGAGTGGTGGATAAAGGAGTGGTGGATAACGGAGTGGTGGATAACGGAGTGGTGGATAAAGGAGTATGGATAACGGAGTGGTGGATAAGGGAGTGGTGGATAAAGGAGTGGTGGATAAAGGAGTGGTGGCGCTCGCGTGGAGCGTGAACTTCCTCAAGTGTGTCGCCAGCGAAGGCGGCTCCCGGCAAGTCAACGATTCGCGAGACTAATTAACATACCGCTGGCAACATTAACATTATATATTCGCGAGTATCGGGGCAATTTTGCCCTCATTAGCATAATGCATGCGAGCGTGGGCATAATATAGATAATTAACATAATGCGTGCAGAACGTCAAAATCATACGTATCATTAACATAATATTTGCGTGCGTCGATAGTTAGAGGCATCATTAGCATAATTTATGCATTTCCCGCGTGGATATCGCTTCTTCCGCGGGTCCCGTCACTTCCAGAAAGACCGACGCTTGGAAGAATCTCTCGGCCCTTTGCATCGCTTGTTAATGTTTCAGTCGGTACACAGATATATATCTTTATATACGCAGTGTGTCTATATCGTCAGATTTCCTTAGAGCGACCGGCTATCGACCGCTGCTTGGCACTCGCGCTAACGGGCTGCTGAAGAAGGCTCCACGCCGAGTCGACGGGGACCGCTTGTTGTGACAGTCGGAGGGGGCGAGGGGGTTACCGCCACTCAGCGGTCAGCAGCGTCGGTCATCAGGGTCGCGAGTGTCCCTCTCAGTGGGGAGGTCACTCCACCGGGGGAGGTCGGTGACCTGCGGGTGACCGGTGGATGCTCCGAAGGTCGGACGGACACACGTGAGTGTACAGGTGATACACGTGTGTGTGTGTCAGTGTGTACAGGTGATACACGTGTGTGTGTAGAGGTGAGTGATACACGTGTGTGTGTGTGTACAGGTGATACACGTGTGTGTGTGAGTGTACAGGTGATACACGTGTGTGTGTGTGTGTGTACAGGTGATACACGTGTGTGTGTGTGTGTGTACAGGTGATACACGTGTGTGTGTGTGTACAGGTGATACACGTGTGTGTGTGTGTCAGTGTGTACAGACACGTGTGTGTGTGAGTGTACAGGTAATACACGTGTGTGTGTGTCAGTGTGTACAGACACGTGTGTGTGTGAGTGTTCAGGTGATACACGTGTGTGTGTGTCACGTAGGCAAAGTCACGTACCTACGTGACTTTGCCGAAAACACCTAAGAATATGAATCCTTGCAGTCACGAAAGCTTCAAATCTAGAATGTGTCAGTGTGTGTTGGCACAGGGGAGCGGTAGTGTAGCACAGGGGAGCGGTAGTGTAGTGGTTAGCGCGCTGCACTACGAACCTGGCGACCCCAGTGACGATTATTTGAACCGGTCCTGGGCCTCCCCAAGGTCGACTCAGCCTCAAATGAGTACCTGGTGCGGTGTGTAAACATCGCCGCTCGGGAGACAAAGGCGGTCGGGCGTGGTGCTGGTCACCCACCCCCTCGTGTACCGTTCCGGCCTTCATAGGTGCTCGCTAACAGCACTTGCCCCTACAGTCTGTTAAGGCTATACGGGGGATCTTTATCTTTTTGTTGGCACAGTAGGGGGCACAGGTGGTGCATCAGCCACTCATCTCGGTCATCTCAGTCAGTCGACCCGTGGCACCTGCTGGGTCTGCCCCGTGACCTCCTGCCACGTGGCCTCAAGGTGCACCTAGCCTGGCACAAGCGTCGTGGTGACATCACCGCCACTTAGTGGCGAATTGCGCTTGTGGTTGTGTGTACACCCACTGCATGTGTAGCGGTTAGCGCGCTCGCTAACAGCACTTGCCCCTACAGTCTGTTAAGGCTATACGGGGGATCTTTGTACAGATGAGACACGTGTGTGTGGGCAGGTGAGTGACAAAGACAAAGGTCCCCCGTATAGCCTTAAACTGTTGGCGGGAAAGTGAAGGCCGGCACGGCACACGAGGAGGTGGGTGGCCAGCACCTCCCGCGGCCGCCTTTGTCTCCCGCATTCTGTACCCATTTGAGGCCGAGTCGACCTAGGGGAGGCCCACGACCGGTCCAGACAATCGTCGCCGGTGTTGGTCGCAGCGCGCGAACCGCGACTACAACCACACAGAGCAGAGTGGCTACACGGCTTGTTGTTGTTGTTGATGCCCACTCACTCGTCTAAACGTATCAACTGATGGGACCCCCCCCACTCCATCTCTCTTCTTATTCTTAGACACCGGCAGGTCCGGGCGCGATTCGGGAAGTCCCCTCGGCTCACGCAAATTCCCGCGACCCAACACTCGCTCGGTTCCACCGCTCTCGGTAGGCAAAGGAGGCAACCCACACGGTGGCAGAACGTGTTTAACAGTACCGCTTTCTTTTATTTTGATTATCAGCTAACACCATGGGTGGGAAAAAAAACGATTTTCCAGCGGCAGGCATCGGGTTTTTTCTTTAATACAATTAAACCCGATTTCGGGGAATTAAAACCTGGTTTAATGAATACGAAACTCTGATCCAAGGCTTAGTCTGCTTCCTCGTCGGTGCTGCTATCGTACTCGGGGGACCATCGGGCACGGGGTAGTCGTAGAATGCGGCGGGCAGGTTGGTCGTGATGAACACGAGCTTCTCCACAATCGTGGGCACTGCCAGTGAGTTCCTTAGCTTGGAATGGATGAAGCCCATCGTTGAGAAGTGCGGTTCTGCAATTAGAACCAATTAAACCGGAATTTCTCCCAATCTCAGATGATCGGATTTAATATAAAAAGACAATTAAACCCGATTGTAAAAAAACCCGACTGTGCCACCCTTGGCTAACACCGGCCACAACCCCGAGTCGATGTGCACCATTGTTCTCTTTTAGCCCCGCCCCTTCCCCACCGTTCCATTCATTGGCTACCACATTCAGATAAGCCCCCCCCCTCCCCCTTGTATTTAAGATCTTGTCTCTTGGAATTTTTCCTCACTTGATACAGTAAATCTAGCTGTGATGGTCCCACCTGATGACGGAGACTTGTGTTGCCTCCGAAACGTCGTGATTTATTATTTTATTTCTATTATTATTTCTATTAGCAGCATTATTTATTTATTATTATTATTTTTCCCCTACGTGACTTTACCGAAAAAACCTAAGAGTGTGAACAAACAAGTCTAACAACAACTCTAACAACAACTCTAACAACAACTCTAACAACAACTCTAAAAACAACTCTAGCAACAACTCTAGCAACAACAGCAGCAACTCAAGTACAGCTCGCCACACGCGGCGCTGGGCTGATACATCACGAGGGCTCTCTTACCCGGAGCCCTGAGGGGTGGTGAACAACGTGAAGTGATTTATAAATGTGTGAATTTGTGCCATACGTGGGGGAATACTCGCGTATGAAGCTGCCGATATTAAATAACTGCAGTGACGTTTTAATCCACATGGTAGCCGAGAACGATATAACATCCATCTCATCATTAGACCTCCTTTGCCAGTACCAAAATATAATAATAGGGTTTTTCCCATTTTTTCTGGCAATAAAAAAAAAGGTTTTAGTTTTGTTGCCAGAAAAAAGGGGAAAATCCTATTTTTATATAACATCCATTTGTAAACTCACTGATCGTGAACAATGTGGTCTCCAAAACTAAGCATGACCACCAACAAATTCCGTCACGCGTGCAGAACGTCCATTGAATGTTCGTTTTATTTGCTTGCAGTTACTAGCTAGTTAGAATATGCCTCACAGTGCTTGAGGATAATGAATATAATGTAATTAACAATGTACAGAGTTGCTTAGAGTAGTGATTCTCAACACGGGAGGGTACACGGACCCCTGGGGTGGACGTGGCAATGTGAGGTGATTTATAAATGTGTGAAATTTTACCATAGTCACGTATGAATCTGCCAATATGAAATAACTTACCACAACATTTACCGTATTTTCCCGCATATAACCTGCGGGGTAGACCACTTTACAAACAAAACAAGACCCTGCAGGGTATATGGAGGTGCGGGCTATCTGAAATTTGTTTTACACAAAACGCTATTTTTGCGGGGTAAATGCATCTGCGGGTTATATGCATGTGGGCTATATGCGGGAAAATAGGTAAATATATTTAGTATCCTAGAACGATATAAAATAGCTTCCCAAACTGATCGCAAACAATCTAGTTACCAAGAGTATCCAGCGAGAGCGAACAAATTCTGTCGCGCGTGCAAAGCGTCCGTTGAAATTTAGTTTTATTCGCTTGCAAGTTACTTAGCTAGTCTGGATACACCTATTATGACGTCATCTGTCGTGATTATGAAACCACAACGGACCAGGTATCCAGCACTTGAGCGGGGGTCTCATCAATGAAACGGCGACGTTTGTCCATGAAGCTAGGCTGTGATTCACTATTTATTTGTGGGTCAGATGGCGTGAGTAAGTCAACTGTGTTGTACACCCTCCTCCACCCGACACAGCCAACTAATACAGTTGTCACGTGACGAACGAACGTACCAGTGCATTACCGCTTCAGCACCTCTGTTGGAAAGCGATCTCACGTGACAAGTCCATGAATTGGCCGTGTCGGGTGGAGGAGGGTTTCACGACGCAACAATTTTACGGCACCTACGCCATCCGACCCAACGACTGACGATGAATCGTAACGTCGGTGGCGAAGGCCTCCGCGTTGAATTCAGCTCGACCCCGTCGAGACGACCGCCCACCACGCCGCGAGGTTTACTCGTTGAGCACAGGTGAGTTGCCACGGCCGATGTCTGGGTGATCGTGCCGGCCAGATATGAGAGTCAACGCGATGTCGTGAGGCCTGTTTAGCCAGGAAAGCCTCACTGAGCCTCGGAAGGGCCGACCAGGTTTGGGCTTCATTCAAGAAGTATCCCTCTGGGACCTACACAGCAGGGTCCTATAATTTATGGAGATATTTGCCACGCTTTCGGCAATAGTGTCGGAGCTCGGGCTGTTTCTGTCCTTTTGCCTTCAGACTTGGGACGCTCGCTGCCTGTAGAACTCGCACCTGGCTACCGGAGCCGAATGCGGATCGTTAAGGACTGTTGCTTCTAAAAAAATAGCTCTTCTGTTATTTTGGTTGCAGACGCCTGATCTAGGATATATTAGACAAACTGTAGATGCGCGTGTATATTTGTATTTATTTTACTGTACCGTGCACCTGAAGCCCTTTGCTGCGCCTTATAAAACGTCAATAAATAAATGAATGGACTGAGGGTCAAATGCGACTTTCAAACTCCCTCTCCGTGACCAATCGCACGCGGACACCTGCTGGAGCGTTGAGCAGGAAGCGGCGTGTCGACTGGGCAGAGAGCCGCGAACGCCCGGTGGGTAACCGAGTGCCCACGGCAGGCCCCTCAACGTGGGCAGGATAAACTCGCGGTCCCGTTTGTGTCTTCCTCAGGATGGCTTCCAGCAAAGAGGAAGAGAAATTGACAACGTCCGTGAGTGGACACCAAATGCACCCCCCCCCTCCCCGTTTCTCACTTCACCATTTTCAATCCACTGCTGGATGAGGCCCACCCCGTGGGTTATTTGACCGCGCTGCTGAGTGGATGTGGGTCGGTGCAAGAGCCGTGTTTACATGCACCAATGTGACATTCAAACAGAGCGCCCCGTATACATTCAGCGGGCCTATGACCGACTCAGCGTGGGGCCTGGATAGTGCTTGGGCGGGCGACCGCGACCGTGCGCAGGTCGTCATCTCGTGGTGGAGGGCCCTCATCCGGCAGTGGATCCACGGCAAGCGCCGTACACGTTTAATATTCACCACGCCGCTGTTTGCAGGTGTCGCCCGAGCACGACCCAGACAACGAAAGCTTCCCCTTCCAGAGCGACTTCCCTCCAAACCCGCAGCAACGCGGCACCGTGCTGGGTGAGCATTGCAAAGACAAAGACCCTCCCTATAGTCTCAACAGACTGTTGGGGCAAGTGCTGCTAGTGAGTAGCACCTATGAAGGCCGGAACGGCACACGAGAGGGTGGGTGGCCAACACCACGCCCGGCCGCCTTTGTCTCCTCAGTGGCAATGTTTACACATCGCACCAGGTACTCATTTGAGGCTGAGTCGACCTAGGGGAGGCCCAGGACCGGTTCACATAATCGTCACTGGTGATTTCCGTGAACGGGAATCGAACCCAGGTGGTCAGGTTCGTAGCGCAGCGTCGCGCTAACCGCTACACTACCGCTCTCACAGACACTCCGCACCCTCTCGCCATAGCCCACACTCGCACCTCCCTGTCACGCAAAGCCACTCTGAGTCACCACAAAGGTCGCCTGCTTCACAGGCCAATAAGGAGCTGGCATTCTATTTTGTATCTTACCAGGTAAAGCCCACTGAGCTATTAGCTTCTTTTTCAGAAGCAATCACAAATGATCGCTCAACAAAGTGGCTTATCACGTGTAAATTGACAGCATCAATCAAATACTCTGAACGAGTGATGTTGGTTCTAAATATGGAGGAAAAACCCGGAGAAAAATCCACGCAACCATGCAGAGAGAGACACAAACTCCAAATATACATATACAACATGTGTCGGGGTCAGGATCGAACACACGACCTCCTGGATACCAGGCGAGGGAGTTAACATCTCGCCTCTGCTGGCTACTGCAGGTGAATGTGTTCAGGGAACAGACCCAATGTCTAACTCATGCGGGTTGTGAAATTACAGCACGCAAACAGCAGGAAGGCAAGACACCCATAATGCCTTGCGCGCAACGTCATGCTGCCATCACGTTGCATGCTCATTGACGGGGCTGGGAGAATTGTAAATGCTGTGTAGCGGTCACATGACATACATGCAAGGGATGATGGGAGTCATGCCTTCCTGTGAGCAGCACACGTTTGCGTGCTGTTATTTGTAATTGTTTCCAGCCCGCACATAGTTTATTCTACAGGGTGTTTGAAAAAGATGGACCCAATTTCAAAGCAGTATATTTCACGATGGCAACATGTTACAATTACACAAAAAGTTACAAACGGTTTAATGAGGTTTAATGAGTTATCAAGTTTTACTAACCATTTTATAAATGCTCTATGTGCCCTCCACCTGCTGTACGAACAATATCGAGACGAGAGTCGAATTCGTTCCAAACGCCTTTCAAAGTGTCTTCATTGTGGTCGCCCTGTGCTCTTCCCCTTACATAAACAGCCCGTTTCCTCAAATTGTCGGTACCAACGACGAATGCTCTTTCACGTTGGTGGATCAATGCCAAAACGCCGTTGAAATGCACGCTGCACCGCAATTACGGATTCGGTCTTGCTGAACTGCAGAACGCAAAACGCCCCTTGTGTTGCGGGGTCGCCGTCTTGCGAATGACTGAGGCTAGGGGCTGTTTGTGCACGGGGAGAGGCATCGAGCGGTCATCATTTGAAACTCTATGTCCCACCCTCTCTATGCCCCGCCCTCTCTATGCCCCGCCCTTTCAAGTGGTAAGAGTTTCATTCATGGGCGGTTCGTGGTTGCAGAGATATAGCGATTTCAAATCGGATCCATCGTTTTGAAACACCCTGTATTGTGATGATGATGGGTTTTCTCGTCGCTCACAGAACAGGTTTCTGATCGAGCATGCGGTTTACTGACCCTCAATGTCCACGCTGGCTGCAGCATTCCTGTCAGGTGAGGAGTGCGACTTGTACAGCGAGCACAACGTCAGATTCTGGATGAACTCGGGAACCGCTCCCCATGACAGCCGGGTAACTCGCACAAGGCATCCGCAATCCGTCCGCCGCCCGCCCGCTCACTCACTCTCACCCACAAATCACTAACTTGCGTAAAGACCACACGCGGCAACTTCGCCCCCACTGGCAGACTATACCCATCCGTTAGGCATCGCGCCTGCAGGATGCAATTGGGCGATGATGATGCAAATACCAAATACGGCACGATTGGGTGTTTGAAAGTTCGTAACCTGGCTAAGAGGATCTCTGTGTTTTTGTTCATGTTTCTTGTGCCAGACTTTCGGGAATATTTTGAAACACCTGGAGGAATTGTTTCCTGGTACCAGCCGTAAGACGTCCACCATGAAGTTCCTCGCACACGTGGTCCGCATCGAATGTGAGTGGCAGCACTAACCACTACACAGAGTGGAGCGCTAACCACTACACTGTTAGAGTGGAGCGCTAACCACTACACAGGGTGGAGCACTAACCACTACACAGGGTGGAGCACTAACCACTACACAGAGTGGAGCACTAACCACTACACTGTTAGAGTGGAGCGCTAACCACTACACAGAGTGGAGCACTAACCACTACACTGTTAGAGTGGAGCGCTAACCACTACACTGTTAGAGTGGAGCGCTAACCACTACACAGAGTGGAGCGCTAACCACTACACTGTTAGCGTGGAGCGCTAACCCCTACACAGGGTGGAGCACTAACCACTACACAGAGTGGAGCACTAACCACTACACTGTTAGAGTGGAGCACTAACCACTACACAGGGTGGAGCACTAACCACTACACTGTTAGAGTGGAGCACTAACCACTACACTGTTAGAGTGGAGCACTAACCACTACACAGGGTGGAGCACTAACCACTACACAGGGTGGAGCACTAACCACTACACTGTTAGAGTGGAGCACTAACCACTACACAGGGTGGAGCACTAACCACTACACTGTTAGAGTGGAGCACTAACCACTACACTGTTAGAGTGGAGCGCTAACCACTACACAGGGTGGAGCACTAACCACTACACTGTTAGAGTGGAGCACTAACCACTACACTGCTAGAGTGGAGCACTAACCACTACACAGGGTGGAGCACTAACCACTACACTGTTAGAGTGGAGCGCTAACCACTACACTGTTAGAGTGGAGCGCTAACCACTACACTGTTAGAGTGGAGCGCTAACCACTACACAGGGTGGAGCACTAACCACTACACAGGGTGGAGCACTAACCACTACACTGTTAGAGTGGAGCACTAACCACTACACAGGGTGGAGCACTAACCACTACACTGTTAGAGTGGAGCACTAACCACTACACTGTTAGAGTGGAGCGCTAACCACTACACAGGGTGGAGCACTAACCACTACACAGGGTGGAGCACTAACCACTACACTGTTAGAGTGGAGCACTAACCACTACACAGAGTGGAGCACTAACCACTACACAGGGTGGAGCGCTAACCACTACACTGTTAGAGTGGAGCACTAACCACTACACTGTTAGAGTGGAGCGCTAACCACTACACAGGGTGGAGCGCTAACTGCTACACTGTTAGAGTGGAGCACTAACCACTACACTGTTAGAGTGGAGCGCTAACCACTACACTGTTAGAGTGGAGCACTAACCACTACACAGGGTGGAGCACTAACCACTACACAGAGTGGAGCACTAACCACTACACTGTTAGAGTGGAGCACTAACCACTACACAGGGTGGAGCACTAACCACTACACTGTTAGAGTGGAGCGCTAACCACTACACAGGGTGGAGCACTAACCACTACACTGTTAGAGTGGAGCGCTAACCACTACACAGAGTGGAGCACTAACCACTACACTGTTAGAGTGGAGCGCTAACCACTACACAGGGTGGAGCACTAACCACTACACAGGGTGGGGCACTAACCACTACACTGTTAGAGTGGAGCACTAACCACTACACAGGGTGGAGCACTAACCACTACACAGAGTGGAGCACTAACCACTACACTGTTAGAGTGGAGCACTAACCACTACACTGTTAGAGTGGAGCTCTAACCACTACACTGTTAGAGTGGAGCACTAACCACTACACAGGGTGGAGCACTAACCACTACACAGGGTGGAGCACTAACCACTACACAGGGTGGAGCACTAACCACTACACTGTTAGAGTGGAGCACTAACCACTACACAGGGTGGAGCACTAACCACTACACTGTTAGAGTGGAGCACTAACCACTACACTGTTAGAGTGGAGCGCTAACCACTACACAGGGTGGAGCACTAACCACTACACAGGGTGGAGCACTAACCACTACACTGTTAGAGTGGAGCACTAACCACTACACAGAGTGGAGCACTAACCACTACACAGGGTGGAGCGCTAACCACTACACTGTTAGAGTGGAGCACTAACCACTACACTGTTAGAGTGGAGCTCTAACCACTACACTGTTAGAGTGGAGCACTAACCACTACACAGGGTGGAGCACTAACCACTACACAGAGTGGAGCGCTAACCACTACACTGTTAGAGTGGAGCACTAACCACTACACAGAGTGGAGCACTAACCACTACACTGTTAGAGTGGAGCACTAACCACTACACAGGGTGGAGCGCTAACCACTACACTGTTAGAGTGGAGCGCTAACTGCTACATTGTTAGAGTGGAGCGCTAACCACTACACTGTTAGAGTGGAGCGCTAACTGCTACACAGGGTGGAGCACTAACCACTACACAGGGTGGAGCACTAACCACTACACTGTTAGAGTGGAGCGCTAACTGCTACACAGAGTGGAGCACTAACCACTAACCACTACTCAGAGTGGAGCACTAACCACTACACTGTTAGAGTGGAGCGCTAACTGCTACACAGAGTGGAGCACTAACCACTAACCACTACTCAGAGTGGAGCACTAACCACTACACAGAGTGGAGCGCTGGCCACTACACCGTGGTATTATCGCGCCACTCATTCTGCGTAACGCGTTTGTTTTCACGCCTTCCGCCGTGGCCCACAGACCACACGGAGAGCATCGTTCGGCTGTCGGGCTTCTGCGACCTGGTGCGCTGGTTCGGGCCCTTCAGGGAAATCGTCTACAATCAGAAGAAGACGTGCATCTGCCTGTGCAACGTGAGTTCCGCTCGTGCAGCCACGTGGGGAAGGGCCGCCGGGCGTGCAACCGAACAGACGGCCCAGTGGGAATTGCGAAATTAGCAACGGAAACATTCGTCAACCAAGCGTGTTTATCTTAATCAACGATGACCGTGAGTGGATGACAGTTGTCGAGCGTGATGATGACTCCCGCTGCCCACTAATACCACCACCACCACCACGACCATCATCATCACTATCACCATAATAATCACTGCCATCATCACCACCATCATCTACTCACCAGAGACCAGAGTGCGACTGTGACGAGGTGAAACTAACGAGTCTGAATGAAGACAGAGACTGAGGTAACTTAATAACGTCATCGGAGACTGAGGTGCCCTGAGGAAGACCGATGATGGTAACTGGCTGTGGATGCATTGACAAAGATTTACCTGGTTCACTGGCTGGGAAGGAAATTGTGCGCCCCTCTCACCAACATTTAAACTCTCAACGCCGAGGCGACGCTCAACCTCCCCATACTGAGACACGACTAAACCTCCCACACAGAGACTGAGATTGTGACTAACACAATCCTCGCCGATGAACAAAGTAATTCTGTGTTGTCCTCTTGATGGTGTCTTCCCGCACTAGCTGGAGTTGCTCATGACGGAGTCACAGGTGCTCGTGTCGAAGCAGAAAATAAGGTATGGGCAGAGGAAGGAGCACACAGATCGGAGGTCAGAGGTTAGCGATGCAGAAGCACTGGAGTTGGGCGGCTGAGGGCAAGTGACATGGCCGAGCAGCACCACGTTTTTCACTGTAGTTCATGCCCAGCGGCCGCACTGGTTAATACCGTTCACCATAAATACTACGCGCCGTCCACTTCACAGCGCACGTTAAAGATTCCGCGACATTTTATGAAAACACAGGAGGCCGTGTGTGCCGGCGTCGTTGTCCACATTTGCCAAATTAGACAAATGACCTCGACAATTAAGTGGGAAAAGCCACGTGGCAACATTGCCCTCTACCGTGAAACGAACGCAGACAAATATCGAAGCACGGCCCTCCGTGTTGGCCTCGCGCTGTGCGAGCGGCGCAACTACGATGTGCTCATGGTCTGATTTAATTTTCAGTGCCATTAGCCGGCAGATTTATTTCATCATTTTGAGGGTCGCACGATGGATTGTTTATGAAGCACAGGTCGCATATCTGACCACCACGTATCCGCCCCGACCAATGAACCACCCCCACCCAGTGCAGTACTTGTACACGCTGGAACTGGCATCGTCCGTAGATGTTCACATATTTGACCTCTTCACAAATCCGACTGTACCCGAGTCCCCAGCGATTAGGATATCGAATATGCGACGTCGTATTGTACCCCGTGCCATGGGATGTTGCCATCGTGATCACACTGGACTTGCAGTGTAGGGATCGCCGGTTCGATTTGATCTCCCGGCGTGCCAGTTAAAACAATGGGCACGTTTCTTAGGTCCCACCACCTCTGTCCACCCAGCGGTACAAATTACTTCACCACAGTCGGTCGATTGTAAGGCGGCATGTGGTGGGGTAGAGTGTGGGTGCTCCCATACCTTGCAAGATTTCTGCCCAGCGGGGAAAAGTTTTACAAAATTCCCCGGTGGCGAGATGTTATCCGCCTCGCCTGGTATACAGGAGGTTGTGGGTTCAATCCAGACCCTGAAAACTCTATATCTGGAGGTTGCATGGATTCTTCTCTGGATCCAGTTTTTTCCCTCCACATTTAGAAACATGCGTTTAGAGTATTTGGCTACTATCAATTTGCACGTGATAAGCCACTTCGTTGAGCTCTCAATTGTGCCCAGGCCGCTTCTGAAAAAGAACTTTCTAGCTCCGTGGGCCTTAACTGGTAATACAAATTAAAATATAGTTTAGTTTATTCCAAAATTCCCTCTCGAGGGGTTCTCTAGTGCTCCCTCTGGAGTGGACAGTGGAGGTCCCTCTGCCAATCCTTCCACCAGCGGTGGCACGAGCGAGCAATTGCAGGGGCTGCGCCTTCACCTTTGCGCCTTTGCCACGCCCCCTTTCCCCTTAGCTGGTTCGCGGGTCACATGAGCAGCGCGGCGGCAGAGGAGAAGCTGCGGGGGCAACCGAGCGGCACCTACCTCGTGCGCTTCTCCGAGTCGGAGCGCGAAACGGGCAGCTTCGCGCTGTCCATCAATGTCGCTGACGGTGGTGGCACGGAGCACGTGACCATCCAGGTGAGCCGACTCCACCGCCCCACCTCCACCTCCTCCTCTTCCGCCACGGTGACCAGCGTCCCTCCTGCCGCAGACCGTTTCCCACCCGCGGCTTGTGGCAGAGGCTCGCGGTTCGAGCCCCGCGACCGCCCTGGTTAACGCTGCCCCGGGCTATTAACGGTTAATGCTGCGTGCTGTCTGCTTCACAGTGGATGCCACGGTGGCGAGATGTTAACTACCTCACCTGGTAAACAGGAAGTCGTGGGTTCGAACCAAACCCTGATGCCCTCATGGTCGTGTGGATTTTTTTCTGGGTCCTCTGGTTTTTCCCTCCACATTTAGAATCAATGTTTTTCGTTTTGATTATTTGGCTGCTGTACATTTCCACGTGATGAGCCACTAATTTCAGCTATCATTTGTGGCCAGGTCGCTTCTGAAAAAGAGCTATATCGCTCAGTGGGCCTTATCTGATAAAATAAAAAAATAGTTTAGTAAATAGTTTTTACATAGTTTGTAATAAAATAGTATAAAGTCGGAGTAAAGATGCGTTGTAGTCGAAATTTGCTAAATTATACAAATTGTCTGCAAAATAATTAGAATGATACGAATAAGATCATTAATTAGGCAAAACTCCACAGAGCCCCCCGATTATCAGACGAATGTCTATTTGTAGGCCGGTGCTGCCTGCAATTTGTGCCACACGGGGACCGCGGCCATGAGGGGTCCCCTTGGCGAGACTGCAGCAGGGCACTGGAAGTCTTGCGATGAGAGGTGACGTGAGGTGCTCGGGAGTTGCCGAGGCATCTTAGCATCCTCACAAATGCAGTTCCTTATCCTTACCGTAAATATCGGCGTGGGAGTGGTGGTGCAGTGGTTAGCGAAATTTGCCATGGCTGATGATGAGATGACTGCTCCCAACTGTCAACTTTCTGTATTTTAGCCACCTGGTGTTCCAATCATTGTTGTGAGCATCGCTCCTCTGCCCTCCATTGTTGTTTGTATGTATGTATGTTGAATTTCTTTCGCACCGTACGTAGCCAACCGTACTAATCGGAGGTTTGAGGACAACTGCCTCCCAACTGCCCAGTAGCGTTTTTCACGAGCCTCCTGCATAGAGGCCGATCTTGACACTGCTGGTACCAGACATCGGCAAATTCACTCACGTGTACATCCTTCTGTATCACATCAGCCCATCTCTTCTTTAGCCCATGCCGTGCCCGGTTAGCCCCTTCGATCTGGCCAAACAGAGGCTGCATGGGCATGCGCTGGCTGGTCATTCAGACGACATGAGCCGGCCAACAGCGTCACCTGCCGGAGGAGCTCACCGATGATGGCACTGTGTCCAGACCTGTCAAAGATCTGTGAGCTCATCACAAATTCCAGTCTGCAGGTTAAACCCAGGATGCATCGTAGGCAGGCCAGCCTGAATGTTTCAAACCGACGCAGCGTCATCACCGGCATCGCGCGTCATCACCGGCATCCTTCCATCCTTCCTTCCACAATGTCAATCCGTCAAGCGGTCACCTGTTGAGAATGCGTCCGATCATTTGCCCTTCCCTGGATTGTTTTGTCGAGACTTCTCTCCTCGGGAAACGCCTCTCTAGAACCTCCCCGCGTTACTCGTTGGTCTCCCCTCCCTCCCCTCCCCGCGCACGCTGTCTCGCTCGCTCGCAGGGCGACCCCAAGATGGTGAACTCTGAGGTGGCGGCGGCGAGAGACGATCCCAACCTGTGGCTGCAGTACTGCGCGGACAGCGACGGGCGCAGGTACCCCAGCCTGCCCGTGCTGATGAACAAGCGGCTCATGGAAGACTCCTTCCACGATGACCACGAGGACACCGCCTGCGAGACGGCGTGCCCCGACCTGCCGCTCAACGCCATATTCAGGCCCTATCGGAACAATTCCTGAGTTTCCGACGATCAGAGGTTGGGGGAGTTTACAGCACCTGCGTGTTTTTTAGAGAGTTTTCCATGTATCACTTGTAAACGTCCATCATCAATTGAGGCTATCCTGGTCTCCTGAGTTCTCGCCTAATCAAACAAAGCAAACCTGACTTGATTCTGCCATGCTCACCCTTCCTGAGGTGATCCTCACCGGCAATGTCTGCCTCACCCCACGCTACCGCTCCATGACTTGCACTCGTTGATCTCTGGCTGTGCCCTCACCAGCTTCACTGGATCCTCACCCAGTCTCACCTTTTCTGGCGTTACCTGCATTCTTTTCCTGGCATCCCTCTGAACTGGAAAACATCGGGCCTACCCTGCCCTCTTCCCCCATGCCCTCCTTGCTAATTTTATCCACCAATTGGACTTTTGATTACAGGCAGTCCTCAACTCACGAACATCTGCACTTACGAACCAGCTTCCATGAGATATTTATTTTTTTAACATCGCCTTGCGAACGCAAATTTACACTTACGAACTGAACCGCGGAACTATTTTGTTTTCAGCGGAGCAATCTTCCTCGAGATTTAATGAGTCACAACCTCCCGCTGCCTGTGCGTGCGCGCGTGTGTGCGTGTGCGCGTTTGTGCGTGCGCGCATGTGTGTGTGTGCATGCACGCGTGTGCGAGTGTGCATGCGCGCGTGTGCGAGTATGCATGCGCGCATGTGTGCATGCGTGACCCGCTCACGACCAACACCAGTGACAATTATCCGAATGGGTCCTGGGCCTCCTGTAGGTTGACTCAGCCTCAAATGAGTACCTGGTGTGTATACATCCTCACTGGGGAGTCAAAGGCGTCCGGGCGTGGTACTGGCCGCCCACCCCCTCGTGTGCCATGGCAGCCTTCATAGACGCTCGCTAACAGCATTTGCCTGTCAATGCAATAGCACTGTTGTGAATGTGTGTGCGCGCATGCCCTGAGTGTGTGTGTGTAATTGTGGGGACTCATTGCGCCCCTTCTGACAAACAAGCCATCGTTAGGACTCAAGGTAGATGAAAATAAAACAGATTTTTTTTTCCTGTTTATGTTACTTTCTTTTGTATTTTATTTACTATACAGTATTACAGTATGAAATGCAAATTTACACTTTCTTAACGAGTTTAACAATGCTTCCTTTTTTTAGTTAAACCGTAGCACATTTGATAACACTGACCGTATGTGCATTTAAATACGGTACGTTAGTCTGTTCCGACTTACGAACCGTTCTCCTAAGTCGAGGACTGTCCGTACAGAAATTCAAGTCGGCTATTTAATTTTACACGCTTTTATTTAACTCTGTTGTCGTATCCTCAAATCTTGTAACTCAATTTTAACCCACTTCCCAATGTGGTATCGACTGTAAACTTGGTATACTTATGTAATACTGATGACAATACTATATTCTATCATTGCATTTTTTTTTATTTTAAACCATCTTTTTTATATGTTATGTTTCGCCTTGGGTCTAATTGTTCACCCTCAACTGACGTTGGCTATAAATCACCACGGTCCCTTACACATTCCTGCGGAGGGAGCTGGTAGGAACGTTGGGTTGCTCGGTCAATGGCCAGGGTCAACGGCGGCGTGGTGTGTTCCGCAAATATGGCCGACTGTGAGGGCGGGCACAAGCCGGCTTGAGTAGGTTAAACGTTGGAGTTTTATAAGGGCAACACGGGGTGACCAGCCCCTCCCCACCCAGCCCCACCCTCCCCACCCAGCCCCTCCCCAAAACAAATAAAACATGCTTCAAATCGCTTTAAACTATTGTCATTGTCGTGCGTATTTAATGTGGCGCTGCACTCTGATGTTGTAGGAGAAAACATTTATTAAAAAGTCTATTTAATTAAGTAGAACGTGTTGTCTTTATTTATTTAAAGTTGCGCATTTTGGTGAACTTTGTGCAGCGGCAGCAGCAGCCACAGGAGCTGTCGATGTATTCTTAAACTGCATTCTAAGATTGAGTCCACACTAGAGGCCGACCGAAACTGAGTTTTTGATTTCGGCCAAAACCGAAACCAGACCGAAAGTTAAATATTGACTTTCAGCCAAAACAGAAAGTTTAACTACACCTTCGACCGAAACAGAAAGGTATATAACCGAAGTTACCGAACACAAGATTTATGAAATATGTCATGATGCAATGCTACTTTAATAAAAAAGAAATCTAAAACTAATTCAGAGCCTGCAGTAAGAGTCGCTAAATATAAAATCTTTAGGTGTTACTTAGTAATTATATCCAAACAAACGAATGTTGTAGTTAAACAACAGTTTCTCACGTTCTCGCCCAGCAGGTTGCTGCTGCGTCTTGTCGGCATCAGAATCGACTTTAGTGAAGTGATCCCACACCGCGTGTTTCGACATTCTTCTCGGTGAATCACTGCTCCGTTTATCAACTTTAATTTTCGACTTCGTAATTTTGTTATCACTAATTCGCTACGGAACTATTAACTAACTGAACATCAATATTATCAGACTTCGAATCTCGGTATCAACACGCGTGTCGACTGAAGCGAACGCAACACAAGCCAAGGCGGGCAGGCGGCTGGGAACAGACAACAGAGGCACTTTCTTGTCGTCCCGCCAAAGAGACTCCACCCACGGATGCAGATGCAGACTGCCGTCTGTTGACATTAGCAGACCATCGTTGCGGCTGTAACCTCGCTCCCAAGCTGCTGCTGCTGACGTGTGCGTGTTTGCAGCTGTGGAGGCCGTTGGCCCCCGGGGTCTCCCCCGCCTGCATCTCCGGGCTCGTTTGCGTTACCGCACCGCCCTGCCCTTCACCAAGATAAGAGAACTCTCCCCGGGGTCCCAGCCGGCATCTCCGGGCTCGTTTGCGTTACCGCACCGCCCTGCGCAGCACTCACACGCTGTGAGCGTACGCACACACAGCACCGCGCGCGTTCACACTCTCGTCGAAACCACACGAGGCTACAATTAGTTATTAATGATGTATTGCTGGCTGACTAGCGAACCACTGTTGCGTCAGTAGGGATCGGCGAGGCAGGCGTATACTATTGCCCAAGGGTCTGTACCCGATTTATCTTATTTTGATACGATCTAAGCGGATTGGTTTTTATACTACGTCTCACCACTCTCTCTCTCTCTCACTTTCTTTACTCACAGTTTAAACGCCCCTGTCGGCTTGTCCTTGCTGCATGTCGACACGTCGCATGGCTGGATGCCAGAGTTGATCGCACGGGAGCTGACTGGAGAAGACCTCCCCTCTGCTTCCCTCACCCTTCTCTTTATCCTGCTCACCTCACAGGGGGGTCCCGCTCCGCTGGCCAATCAAAGTGCTTCACCTGTCCCCTGGCTGGCTTCGGGCGGTTCCAATCTGGTTAGCGCGACGGATTACCTCGTCCCATAGATCAGTGGGAGGAGCCCTGTTTTCCCGGCGTTCGTTTGTGTATTGCAGACCCCTGCCTGCCTTTCCGATACGTGTGTGTGGGGGGGATGCGTTTCAACCGTGGTGGCTGGACAGCCCTCGCCGTGACCATACAATCTCAACCCGGGTCACAGCGCCGCAGTGCGAACCAGCATCGGGGGAGGTCGCCCAATTCCCTGGCCGCAAGAAACCGTGAAGATTATCCCTATGAGGGCTTTCGGGTAAAAACCTGCCGGCCAGGAGACCCCCCCTCGGAGCTCTATGTGGGCAAATGTGTGAGGGTGTGTTTATGTGGGGGGTGGTGAGGGGGAAGCGGGGTCGGTCCCATCGCTTTGGTGGTGGCAAGGTTGTAGATGGGGCGCCCGCTGAGCGGCTTCGCGGTGGTGGCATCACACAGCCATTCACATAGGATTGCCTAGCGCCGACTCACCGGCCGATAGGCAGAGAGATAGACGTAGCACTAGCGTTATACTCGTAGGAACCGCCTGGTTCCACCAGCCCACAGGTGATTATTGTGTCCGTCCGTCGTGCATCCAAAATGGGAGGGGTAGGGCTGGGTGGGGAGGGGAGGGTGGGGAGGGTGAGGAGGGGCTGGGAGGGGAGGGTGGGGCTGGGTGGGGGGTGGGAGGGGTGGGGCTGGGTGGGGAGAGGCTGGTCACCCCGTGGTACCCTTATAAAACTCAATGTTTAACCTACTCACGCCGGCTTGTGCCCGCCCTCACAGTCGGCCATATTTGCGGAATACACCACGCCACCGTTGACCGAGCAACCCAACGTCCCTACCAGCTCCCTCCGCAGGAATGTGTTATTCTAAAAATAGATCTTCGGTTGACGACCGAAAGTCAATATCAGTTTCGGCCGAAACTGAAACCAGACCGAAAGATAAAAATTAACTTTCGGCCGAAACCGAAAGTATGCCGAAAGTGGCCATTTGCCAACTTTCGGCGCCGAAACTTAAACCGAATTTCGGTCGGCCTCTAGTCCACACACACTGTCTCGGCCTCGCTGTGCGCTACGTTGCACCACTATCCGAGTAGTTAACCTCACATTCAATACACTTTCAGAGCCAGGGTGAACATCCGCGGCGACGGCCAGCCCGGGGTGGCCCCCACCTGGGGAGGTCCCATGCCTCCTGGCCGAGCCGCGGCCCCAAGGTACCGCCCCCGGCCTGATCTCGCTCTCTCCCTCGGTGCCCTCTCCTACCAGCGAAGACGGCCCTGAGCGGGTACAGCCGGGCCAGCTTGGTGGCTGGAGGTCGACTCCACGTCCGAGTCCCGAAGCGAAGCGTGGGGGGGGGGGGGGGGTGCTGGTGGAACCCCGAGCGCAGCCCCCCTGAAGGTTGCTTCCCCTCCAAGTGCACTGGCGTACGCCACACGCTCGTGATCCTGCACCTCAGCTGGGCAACCACTCAACATCTCCCGACCTCACTCCGGGGTCAATACCCCACACCCCCCGATTTGTTGAGTCGGAGCTGCCCGTGCGTGCCTCTATGCGTATATCTATAGGTGGCCTAGTCCGTGGGTGGGTACGTATCTTTGTGTATCTCCCCACAAGGGGTTGCGTGAACATAACCCGAGGTCGGCCCCTTGTGTTCACGGCTAATCTACACTGCTCTGGCGGCGCGGGGCGTAGGTATATGGGGCCGGGCCTGATCCCACCCGATAGAGGGGGGACCGCTTTATGCATGATATAAATTACTCAGCGGTGGCCCCTCACCACATGAGCGTGACCTAAATTTGGCTCCTCGCCCCATGTAGACGGTGTTCCCACGGCTCGGAGAGACGGCTCCTCTGGATGGACACCCTGTACACGCCTCTCTGGCGGCAGGGAGGGTCTTCTAAAACTGAGAGCCTCCAGGTTGGGCCGAGCCGTCTCGTAGATTTGGCTACCTGCCTAACCACGACACGAACTGTGTAGCGTTTAATCTCTCCTCGGGTTTGGCTGGACGGACTTTCTGGGGTGTCTCGACCCGGTGTGCACGGCACGGTGACACTGGAACCCAGTAGTGGGAACTCGACATCTTCACGTTCGTCCACACGCCACCACTCTCCAGTTCGCTCAGACGCCAAAGTGGCCTCCCCGCTGCGGGCGCGGCCATTTCCTTACTTCTGCTAGGGGCCACCACGTGTTTGATGAACATTGAACCTCGTACATTAGGAACAACAACATAGTCGGGCCTCCAACTTGGAGTGACTTGGCTTAAAAACCTCGACCTGAGGGCCATGGCCACTGCCAGAGTAGTGGCCAAGGAAGCCGAGCAGCTAGGGGCTGGCAGCCCACCCGGAGGAGAAGGAGGTGGTGGAGGTGTTCGTCACGCACGTTGCTGTAGACGCACGGCGCGCGATTCGGCTCCGTGCGCTTCACAGGGTGTTCTCCACGCACGGGGAGGTGGAGTCCCCGATGGTGGAACTCGGCTCCCTGGCCGAGCTGAACGGAGCGTCGCTCTTCGTCGACGAGTGCCACGTCGCGGGCGCTGTCGGTAACGCCGCGGGGCAGTGCCCGGATCCGCCGCCCACCTCCAGCGCCGCGTGCCGGCCTCCGTGTCCACGCAGGGAGCACGGATCGGGCTCCTCCTCGACTCGCTCTCGAGAGAGTCCGGGGTGGGGGGGGGGGCGGAGTCCCCGACGCTGAGTGACGAAGGTGATTCGGGGCAGAGCTTCTTGGTGCCAGCTGCCGGGTGCAGCTCCGCGTGGTTCCATGAACGTAGCGATCTCGTGAAGGGCAGCAGCCGCGTGCGCTTTGTCAAGAGGACACTGGTGTCAGTGGTGGTCGTGAGCGGAGGCCAGTGCATTGACCAGTTAATCAGCCAGCAGTGGATTAATCATGGCTGCTGCTGCTGCTGATGTATTAGTGAAGGCTTGGGGAGGCCTTAATCCAGGAGTGGATAGACCCTGGCTAATGATGCTGGTGGTGAATTAGAGGAGGGGGTGGAGGCCAAGTGAGGCCTTCATCCAGCAGTAGATTGACTAAAGGCTCGTGTTTAGAATAAATGCATACGAAGAATTGTATTAATAAGTGCTGGAGAGCGAAGGAATGAACCCCTAATTGTGTCTACACTTACAGAAGCAAGTGTAATATTCAATCGGACTTAAGAATACCTTTGCTTTGAATACACCCACTGAATAAAGTTTAACACAAAATCGGATACTGAGAATCAAGCTTAAGATGAAAACAGACACCAGAATACAATGGTCTTCATTTTAATACAAAATCGGACGTAAGAATATAATAAACATCATACGTTTCGGGTTAATCACTGTTGATTCACTGCCAATCGATCCATGGATCGAGTAATCCCAGTGGTTGGTATAGCGTCATGAGAAACACCTCCTCTCTTTTGACTTAAAGCTTTCGTGACTGCAGGAATTCGTATTCTTTGGGTCTTTCGGTAAAGACACGTAGATAAGTTCAAAGAAAATAACCAAAAACTACGACGTTTCA